TTGGAGCCCAAAAAAATAAAGTAAGCCACTGTTTCCCCATCTATTTGCCATGAATTGATGGGGCCGGATGCCATGACCTTAGTTTTCTGAATGTTGAGCTGTAAGCCAACATTTTCACTCTCCTCTTTCACTTTCATCAAGAGGCTCTTTAGTTCTTCTTCACTTTCTGCCATAAGGGTGGTGTCATCTGCATATCTGAGGTTGTTGATATTTCTCCCGGCAGTCTTGATTCCAGCTTGTTTGATTCCAGTCTTGATTCCACTGGGCTTCATCCAGCCCAGTGTTTCTCATGATGTACTCTGCATATAAGTTAAATAAGCAGGGTGACAATATACAGCCTTGATGTACTCCTTTTCCTATTTGGAACCAGTCTGTTGGTCCATGTCCAGTTCTAACTGTTGCTTCCTGACCTGCATATAGATTTCTCAAGAGGCAGGTCAGGTGGTCTGGTATTCCCTCCTCTTTCAGAATTTTCCACAGTTTATTGTGATCTACAAGTCAAAGGCTTTGGCATAGTCAATAAAGCAGAAATAGAGGTTTTTCTGGAACTCTTGTGCTTTTTTGATGATCCAGTGGATGTTGGCAATTTGATCTCTGGTTCCTCTACCTTTTCTAAAACCAGCTTGAACATCTGCAAGTTCACGGTTCACATATTGCTGAAGCCTGGCTTGGAGAATTTTGAGCATTAGTTTACTAGGGTGTAAGAGAGTACAGTTATGGGGTAGTTGGAGCATTCTTTGGCATTGCCTTTCTTTGGGATTGGAATGAAAACGATCTTTTCCATAACTCTATAGGGTTTCACAAGTGCATTGTACATGTATTCACCATTATGATATTGTACTCAGTATTTTAATTAACCTAAAAATGTCCTGTGCTTCACCTATTTATCTCTCCCTCCTTCCTCCTAAACTTTGGCAACCACTTATCTTTGTGTCTCAATAGTTTTGCCTTTTCCAGAATGTCACATAGTTGAAAGCATAAAACCAATTTTTAGATTGACTTCTTCACTCAGCAATGTATAATATTAATACATGTCTTTTCCCCAATGTCTTGATAGCTCATTTCTTTTTATGGCTCAGTAATATTCCATTGTGTGAATATACTGGTTTATACACTAATCTTTTGAAAGACGTCTTGGTTGCATCCAAGTTTTGGAAAGTATAAATAAAGCTGCTAAAATAATTTGCGTGCAGGTTTTTGTGTGGACATAACTTTTCAACTCATTTGGGTAAAGACCTAATAGTGTGACGGCTAAATTGTATGACTGTCTTTAACTTGTAAGAAGCTATCACACTGTCTTCCAAAATGGCTGTACTATTTTTGTTTCTTATGAACAATGAATACGACTTTTCTATTACTCCACTTGGAATGGATTTTGGCCATTCAAATAAATGTATAGTGGTGTTTCATTCACTTTAATTTCCCATTCACTACTGACATATGATGTAGAGTACCTTTTCATATGCTTATTTGCCATCTGTGTATCTTCTCTGGTGAAATATCTATTCAGATATTTTGTTCCTTTTTAATTTAGGTGCATGCATGCTAAATTGCTTCAGTCATGTCCAACTCTTTGTGAACCTATGGATTGTAGGCTGCCAGGTTCCTCTGTCTAGGGGATTTTCCAGGCAAGAATACTGAAGTGGGCTGCCATGCCCTCCTCCAGTGAATTTTCTCGACATAAGGATGGAATCCATGTCTCTAATGTCTTCATGTCTCTTGCATTGGCAGGCAGGTTCTTTACCAATAGTGTCACCTGGGAAGCCCTTTTTAAATTAGGCAATTGTTTTCTTTATATATATTTTGGATACCAGTGTTTTATCAGATGTTTTGCAAAGGTTTTCTCCAGGTCTATGACTTTTCTCATTCTCTTAACAGTATCTTTACAGAGCAGAAGTTTTTCATTTTAATGAAGTCTAATCAATGTTTTTCTTTCATGGATCATAGAGAGCTATGTATTTTTATCTTCTAAAATGTTTCTTTATATCTCTACTTACTTACTTCATACTCTCCCATTCAACTAGGTATCCACTTACCTAACCTAGGTTCTGGGATTTAGTCATGAGCCTCTCAAGTAGTTTTTGATAAAATATGTAGGTTAGTATCTCTGCAAAGTATCATTATACAGAGTCCTAGCAGGAAAAGACTGGCACACCGAGCTGGCAGTTATCTGTTAATGTTAAATAAGGGACTATTTAGAGGTGGGAGCAGGTTAAAGGAAACAACATTGAATGTTGCAGTGCCCAAGGACCAGCATCAGCATGAATTCCAGGATCCAAGTAACAAGAAAGGACAGTTCTAAAAAAAAGAAGGTGTTGAGAGCCTGGGCCATCCACAAGATGTTATACTTGTAGAAGAACATACATGTTAATGAACTTGTATAGAATCATATTTATAAATCTGTATAAAATCTCTATAGAAGGAATACTTCCTCCTGATCTCCCTTTTTCTACCAGGTCCTCCCAAGGGCTGAATTCACCCAGAAGTCAGAAGATAAGTGAGCCTGTAGGGTGAAGTCTTCAGAAGTCAATTTCCAGAGGGGAGCAAAAAAGAGTAGAAAATGGATGGGGATGGTAAGACAGGCAAAGAAGAATAACAAGGTTAGGCAGTTTCCTTAAAAATCATTTAGAAGAGGAGGAAGTGTGGATTCAATCTTTTTCTTTTTTTTTTTTTTGGCTGCCCAGTAGGGCATTTGTAAAATCTTGTTTCCCCAATGAGGGATCAAACCCATGCCTCCTGCAGTTCTGAAGTGGAAATACGGAGTCCTAGCCACTGGAATGCCAGAGAATTCCCCAGCAGAAATTTTTTTTGGCCATGCCAAGTGGCATGTCGGATCTTAGTTTCCCCATGCCCCTGCAATGGAAGCACAGATTCTTAACCACTAGATGTGAGGGAAGCCCCACAGTATCAACTGGCAGAAATATTATTTGATCCACCTTGACCTTATATTTAGAACAGTGATAACAAAAACACCTGGGTAAATCCATCCTGTCTCAATGAACCAGCCCCAGGTTCCTTCTAGTTTCCCACTCAGGTACTTCTCAATCCATCACACAAGGTATCACATATAGTAACAAAAGAACTAGAAAAGTCAGCGACACAATAAGCAGCATGTCTAAATGGCACCCCACTCCAGAACTCTTGCCTGGAAAATCCCGTGGACAGAGGAGCCTGGTAGGCTATAGTCCTTGGGGTTGCAGAGTTGGACACAACTGAGTGACATCACTTCCACTTTTTACTAGCCTCAGTTTGGCTAATATGTTATGGGCCAAGTCGTCATGGTTGTTCCATAAGATGTATGTGGAGGAAAGTGAAGGAATGATGATTAAGGCAAATAAAGCTACAATCAAGTGAATAAAGCTGAGATATAGTCAGAAATTTAAATACCCAGCTGAATTATTTGGGGAATGAATAAATTATCACCTCTGTGGTAAGAATACTCTCATAGGAAAATTTTGATTTCTTTTTTTTTACAAAAGTGCGAAAGGAATTAAATAAAAGAAAAATAGCCTTTTATGCAAATGGTGTGAGAGCAATTGGATGTTCATAAGCAAACAAAAGAATTTTGACCAAGTCTCATCTCACTGTTACCAAAAAATTAGTTCAAAATGAATCACAAACTGAAATAGAAAGTGAAAAACCATAAAACTCAGGGGAAAAACAGAGGAGAAAATTTCCAGGACCTAAGGTTAGGTAAAGAGTCTGTAGATGTGACACCAAAAGCAAAATCATTAAAAGGAAAAAACTGAACCTAATTAAAATTTGAAATGTTTCCTCTAAGAAAGTCTTTATCTATTAAGATGATAAAAAGCTACAGACTCAAAGAAAATATTTGCAAACCACATATTTGACAAAGGACTAATATCTAGAATATATAAAAAGTTCTCAAAATTCAACAATAAAAAAATAGACAATGTCAAAATACAAAATAGTGACAATGTCAAGTGCTGATGAGGTTAGAGAGAAAGTAGATTACGTATGCATTTATTGTGGGAAAGTAAAATGGTACACCACCCTGGAAAACAGTTTGATAATTTCTTAGAAATCTATACATGCAACTACCATTTTTTTTTTTAAAGTGAGGAATTTTTATTGCTGATGCCATTTCATCTTTATACTGGTTCATGAAATACAACAGAATGTTCAATTGTTACAATGCTGATGCAATAAATTCCACTATTATACAGAGATACTATCTCAATAATCTGTATCCAGATGGTAAAAGGGTTAGTTGTTCAGTTGTGTTCCACTCTTTGTGACCACATGGACTGGAGCCTGCCAGTCCCCTTAGTCCATGGAATTCTCCAGGCAAGAAGACTGGAGTGGGTAGCCATTCCCTTCTCCAGGGGAACTTCCCAACCCAGGGATTGAGCCCAGGTCTCCTGCATTGCAGATAGTCTTTACTATATGAGCTACAATACATGCAATGCAAAGTAAATGTGTTAGTTGCTCAGAATTTCATGGACAGAGGAGCCTGGCAGGTCACAGTCCATGGTCACTAAGAGTCAGACAAAACAGCATACACAGAGATGGTAAAATGTAAAAAGTTCATTTTCTAACTCTGTGAATATTTTATTTAATATACAAAATCTATTTCAACAAGTGGTCATAATATAAAATTCAGATTCCTGTCCCTTGATATCAAATTAAGCAACTGCACTACACACAAAAGAAAATCAGAATAGAAAAATCAATGACACATCAACTGTCCTATAAAATCATTTTATTTTCTGCAAGGTAAACATTTTTCTTAGGCATTGCTAAGAAACAACCTCTTTATAGGGTTTTATAGTTTGGAATAACTATATATTTTTTTAAAAATTTGTCTTTATTTTATAGAGTTGTAATACAAAAAGTGATTTATAGGCTATATTTTTCAGGAAGAAGTTACTAGACTATAAACCTACTGAAGAAACTTCCTTATTTAAATCTATGATATGGAATGAAAAGATGATTAAAAAGTCTTCTGATCAAAAAGCTTGAGATCATCAAAGGAATGTTTAGTCTCCTCCACAGAGAGCCACCAGGATTTTTTCATAATCTCCTTTGGTTTCATCCTGTTGATAAAAATAAAGTATACTTAATGCTACCTGAGACCAAAATCAACAGAAAGTATTTTTAAATTATAGAATAATTACTATATTAGGCTTAACATACATCACAGTATATCAATTTTTTAGGATCTTGGATAAGAATATCACTTATTTAATTAATAAAATTTATATAGCAGATAACTGGTATTTTTAATTGATTATATGAAAAGCAATAGCTTTCAAAATTCAGATTGCAAACTTCTCTTGATTATTCTGTATTAAAGCCATTATTTTCCAAGAATGAAATATAACACAGAATAAATACAGCAAAATATAATTTCATATCACCTCTGACTTGCTCAACCAGAGTGAAGGTTGTAAGTCCATGATAGTCTCACTTTTCATGTTAGATTTTTGTTATCCAATATAAATGCCAAATTGAATTTAAATAGTCATCTATCTTTCATTAAGTTCAAATCTCCTTGACTTGTCTTTCTTTTTTACTTTCTAACTTGAACATGCATTTTATATTTTCTACATATGACAAAGTTAAGGAAAAATATAGAATAAAAAGTTTCTAATCCTCAGATCAATATTCATTGCAACATACATCATTATATATCTCTACCAAAGTATTTTGATTGCTAAATGTATATATGGTAAACTGTTTCCATGACTATTGAAAAATCTGCAGTCCTTCTGTATAGAACTTACTAGCAGATTTTACCAGTGAAAGTTCAATTTACTTTAAATTATGTATCTTTTTAAAAGTTTTTGTTTTTTGGTTATACTGTGCAGCAAGTGGGATCTTAGTTCAGCAACCAGGGATCAAACTCATGTCCCTTGCAGTTAAAGCACAGTCTTAACCACTAGACCACAAGAAAAGTCTCTGTATCTTAATATAACAAATTTATCTTATATATGTAATTTATGGATACAGTAAGTCAGCCCTTCTTTTTGAAGAAGTTGCAAAAAAATTATCATTTGTGGGGGTAACATAATGAGAATTACAACATACCAGAATGGCTTGACAGAGAGAGATGCCATACAACTTCTGATAGCATGCTTTGATATCATTCATGTCGATTTCAGAGCGGGAAACCATAATCCTGATCAGTGTCTTATGACGAGTTCCAATACCCTGTCGAAAACAAATGGTAGTTAAGTGTCCCTTATATTCCAAGCCTACTCTTAAGGCAGGATGTGGGTTTGAATGTGAAGCTCTTTTGCTAACCTATATTGTTTTTATGGAGAAACTATTTCCACATTAAAATACACACAAACACACACACAAACACAAGTGGTAATAAAATGACACGAACTCAACTGTGATAAGAGAATCATATATAGAGCTTTTAAAACTTCCTAACTGATCTTCCACTATCCAGTCTTTATTCTGTCTAAGCTATTCAAGAATTGCAAAGTAAACTTTCTAAGTTGTAAATCTGATCATCTGATTCATCTACTTAAAACCCATTAGTGACCTTCTGTTGATATTAGGATGAAAATCAATCATTTCACCTGAGCTTACAATGTCCTGCCTAATTCTACAACTTCTTCCACCATGCACTATCACTCTAATTATATTTATTATCCTGAAAGAGACATGCTATGTTCTCCTCCAGGACCAGACTTGCTTTACCCCTTCATTCCTTACATTCCTGCTCTCATCCTATTCAAATAGCATGTTGTAATTTAGCTGACACCTACACTGCTTTCCAAAGTCAGGGACACAGGTCCCTCTTCTCATTAACAATACTAGGTGTTCTCATTACCCATCTAATAACCTCACTAGATAACAGCAGGCCTGGGGTCAGGAACTGTACTGCCAACTACCTAGTGGAACAATGCCTATCACATCACAGGGACTCTTTCTTATTAACTGAATGGTTAGATTGCTCTCTCCTAAGACTTCCTTATTTTGGAGTTGCAAAGGAAAAAAATATACAGCTTCATAACTTTTCACAAGTATATAGGTACCATCCTATATAATAAAATACAAGCTAGACAATAAAGTGAAATACTTAAAGTGATATCTCAAATACATCTTAATAACACCTTACACTTTGATGAACTTAGAATGACATTTTAAAATCTTAGAATGACATATTAAGCAATGCCATGGAAAGCAAAATAAAAAAGATAAATGAAATTTAGAAGAGATCATAAAACTTACAACCTTAGCAGAAGCAGGTTGCTAAAATCATACATTAAAAGAGGAAGTATATCGCCCTTTCTCCGCTGACTCAGATTTTATGCAAATCATAAGTAATATACAAATTGCTTTCAAGCTCACCTTACTATCTTACCTATAAAAGAATATAACAGGTCTAACAGAATTTTATTCTAAGAAGTAAGTGTATTACCTCCTGCATTGGATAGAAAAGTAATTCTTTTTAATGAAGATATTAAAAAATAAATGTAATTTTTAAACAATATGGGATTTTCTGTTCTCTCCATACAATAATTTTTTCCGCAAAGCAAATCATATGTTACCTTCATGGCCTGATGGAGCTTCTCAGCAAAGAACATTGGCTTGTTTGTAGCACACTTCACTGTAAGAGAGGCATGTTTTAGCTGACATCTTTACCACAAAAGAAGAAAGGTACATATGAAAGAAATAGGAAATACAGAGGTCTGCAAGTAAGATTCTGTTCTCCATCCCTGTTCCTCACCATCCAGCCCCAGTAAGGGATATTTGGCTTAAAAGAAGCTATTTTTTAGATGGTGATTTTGTCCTCTGATAATATCATTTATCTCCTATTATCCTAAATCCACCGATAGCAACTTCAATAGTTTATGCTATCCTGAGGATATTCTTCATGGAAACAAGGAAACCAGTAGATGTTAAAGGCCATGTTGGCAGGCAAGAAATACTTTTTTCCAGTTGTAATAAGAAAAAAAAAAATCCAAGTGGGACAGGACAGTCATAAAATATAAGGCAACAGCCAATAAAATACTAACAGATGTATCAATCAGTATTAAGAAGATTCTCTACCTTCTTACTCCAAGTGTGATCTATGGACCAAAAGAACTGGAGTCAACTGAGAATTTGTTAGGAATGCAGACTTTCAGTCTCCACCCAGACCTACTGAATTAGAATCTGCCTTTTAGCCAGATTCCCGAAGGGTTCATGTGCATGTTAATGTTTGAGAAGCACTGCTTTATAATGTAGGTTTCCAAACCTCGACTGGTCATCTGAATAAAATGGGAAAACTTTAAAATTCTTTTCTTCTGAAAGTCTAAATCCTTTAAGATTGCCCAAGATTACTTAGCAAGTGACAGACCAGGATGGGGACCTTCATTTATCTAATTCCAAATCCCATGCTCTTAGTGGCCATTTTGGCTTTCCTTTGTGCCATGCCCAGCCTGGTATATTGCGTGGTATAAACAGATGTTCAGTATCATCCACCTGCTCATCTTTTTAATCAAGGAAATAATACCTGTAATTACTAACAAGACTGCTGCATCACTTTAGCTAACTATTTATTGCCATTATCTTACATGCTACCTTTATTTGCAACATAAATTATATCTGAGTTTTTGTCTCATTATTCTATTTTGTAAATTATTGGACAACATTGACAATGCAATTTCAAGTTAGAAAACCCTTCCCCCTCCAGGACTACTTACCAATAACTGTGAGGCATTTCTCGATGTCACCTTTCAACTCCAGGTCCAGAACTTTGTTCATGTCATGCTTACTATACTTGGAGTATTTCTGAAACACTGAATATTAAATTCAAATTTAGAGATGTACAGAACATTCTGTTTTTTAGCAAACTAGCAAAATCAGCCATGGCCACGAAGTCAAAGCATTCCTTGTGCATGTGCTAAGTCACTTCACTTGTGTCTGACTTTTTGTGACCCCAGGGCCTGTCAACTGCCAGGCACCTTTGGCCATGGGATTCTCCAGGCAAATATTGGAATCGGTTGCCATGCCCTCCTCCAGGGGATCTTCCCAACCCAGGGATCAAACCCGCGTCCCTTATGTATCCTGCATTGGCAGGCAGGTTCTTTACCACTAGCGCCACCTGGGAAGCCCAAAACATTCCTTAGGAGTTCTGAACTTCAAAAAACACAATGTAAATCTAACTATTCATCTAAGCATATTTTGGATACATCATCTTCTCTGAGGGATGTAGTTCACATGGCTATTTTTGTGCTTCTGTGTATTTTGGGAAAATTTTTGCAAATGTTGACATTTATTAGAAGTGACATTTGATTGATGGCTGTAACTACATCAGAGCCTAGTGCCACAGCAAATGGATCTTTCCTTATATAAAGATCTGTGTTGTAGATTCCTCTTAATTCTAATCTCAAAAATCAGAGTGCTGTTGTCAAATAATAAACTTGAAGTAATCATCACGACCTGCCTTTGTCTTGACTTCCAAAACACTCAGGGCTAAGTCTTGCGGCAAAAAACTCTCTTTTGGTTTTTGTTTCTGGAGCATCTAGATACTCTTTTCTTCACTTAGCCTTAGATTTTTTTTTTTCATTGTAATTTCATGTGTTCTGTTTTATGTGTATATATTGTCAGATCTATTCCAAAATTTTGAGGGAAAAAAATAGGAAAAATAACGAACTAATGTTCTACATGCCAAAGTCATAAAATGTGTTTCAAATACTATCAAGTGGTGTCTGTACAAAGCTGGACAAATGCACAAGTAGCAATAGGAGATCAGGAGCACTGCACCCATTTGGTTTCAGAGTGTCACTGATTAAGATTTCTTTCTTGCTTTCTCTTGAAATTGTTAGTCACTCAGTCGTGTCCAACTCTTTGCGACCCCATAGACTATAGCCTGCCAGGCTCCTGCTACCATGGGACTCTTCAGGCAAGAATACTGGAGTGTATTTGCCATTCATTCCCTTCTCCGGGGGAATCTTCCTGACCCAGGGATCGAACCCAGGTCTCCTGCAGTGCAGGCAGATTCTTTACCATCTGAGGCACTAGGGAAGCCATTTCCTTTCTCTTCCTTGTATTCATTAAAAAAAAAAAGTGACTTCTTCAAACAGTTCCAGGGAACATTTGTTTTCTTCTTACCTCTGCGAAGATGGGGATAGCTCCTGGTGGTAAGAATGGTAGTGAACACATTCACATCTGTCCCTTTTCTTCCTTCTCCTGCTTCATATAAGGCCTGTTAAGAAACACAAAAACAAACACTTGACCATCTGCAGATTTGATATCTGCATAAGAATGTTAGATCTCTTCAAAGATTTTGGAGGCAGCTGCTTTGTGTCCAATACAATCAGAGCAGGTGGCAATGCTAAGATTCACAAGTTCCTTAGAGATGGAAACCTTGTCTTGTCAAGTATCTTCCATAATATCTCTTAAGTTGCCTTGCAAACACTAGAGACTGAATCTATGCGTGCAAAATAAATATTTATTGAGTTAACTCGCTTTAAGTTTACATTCTGTATCAAGAAAACTTCAAGGGGCACTCTCTAATTTTTAATTTTGCTTTTAATTGTTCAAAGTAATTTTCAGCAAATGGTACTAATAAATCAATAATTCAACCATTACCTAGATGTTGAATTTTGATGTAAGAATTTCTGAATTCAAATTCTGACTCTGCAACTTAATCGCTCCTAGATATTAGTACTAAGATATCTTAATAATCTTATGTAGTTTCACATTATTAAGCTACAGGCTTTCCTCTTTTGTAAATAGAAAAGATAATCTCTGCTTTATTGTTACCAACATGCTCTGTTACCTTTGAAGTGACCCTCCTCCCGGGTCACACTAATCCATGTAGTGGCCATAAATATACATCTAAGAGCCCTGATAGTCTTTTTTTTTTTTTCATTTTAATTTTTGCCTGCACTGGGTCTTTGCGGCTGCATGTGGGCTTTCTCAGTTGTCGAGAGCAGGAGCTATTGTCTAGTTGTAGTGTGCAGTGGTTTCTCTTGTTGCAGAGCACCGGCTGTAGGCACGTGGGCTTAGCTGCCCCGAGGCATGTGGGATCTTCCTGGACAAGGGATTGAACTGGTGTCCTCTGCATTGCAAGGTGGATTCCTAACCACTGGACTACCAGGGAAGCTCCCTAATAGTCTTAGAATGGAAAGCAAATTCATAAGTATCACAGCAGATAAGAGTAATTTCTTACTATGGGCAGTTACTCAAATGCTTACTTTTGTTCCTTGATGTGATTGCGCAATTTCTATTAAAATGATAAAACTTCCAATGGGCATAAAAAGTTATTCGGGACTTTCTGAGCAAACAACTGACATAGGTGCATTTATTCAACAAAAGTCAATAAATGCCTATTATGCACAAGATAATGCACTGATATAGCGAAGAGAGTGGAGTAGTCAAGTAAGTTTCTATTTTTACTAACTCACTGTGATGAATTTGTGGAGAATACTAACTATACCATAAGAAAAGTATATGTAAATACTAGATGCCAGTTTGTTAACAAAAATTCCAAGTTCCAAAATGACAACAGTTTTTCTAATGTTGCCAATGGACTGATGTATTAAAAAATAAGCAACCTCACTGAAACAACATACAATAATATACTTGAAAGTATACAAATGCTATAACTTTTATAATTTTAATATCATTACCATAATATTTTTACAATATAAACTTACACCTCTAAACCAATGTTCACTGTTTAAAGAATTGTTAGATGTGTTTATTCTTTTCACTTTTACTTTCTTATACGTGGTAAAATAAAAATTCAGAGTTTTCTCAATAACAGATCAAATTCCTACTGTTCTTTCTCAATCCTCTCCAGCTTCATGAACAGTGCAACTTGTTGAAAACATAAAGACCACATTTCCTCTCTTGGATTGCTTGAATCCTGGCTGGTGGGCATCACTCAGGAAATGGACATTAAGTGCCATTATCCTTTTGGAGAATCCCATATCTGCTTTCACGTGGAGGCCCTCAAGTGGTACCTCACCTCAGGTCGGACCTAACTGAAGTAGCAACGTGGATTCTAAGAGTATTTATAAGCACTTGCTTACCCTGGCATCTGAATCAGCCAAGTCGTCATTTACAGCAAGCTCCTCAGATCGGTCACCCTGGAAAATATCCCATTCTCGTGTAAGTAGTTTTCTAGCATATAATCACATGGCTTATTTATTCTCTTAAAATCAGATGAGTAATATTCTTTGCAGAAAAAGGAGTGAATTGCTCATTTCTAGAGAGAGATGAAATCTAAGATTTTACTTTTCATCAAAGAGACATTTCCAGATCTATTTTAGTTATACCTTAGCAAGAGAAAGCAAAGCCTTCTCATAATCTCCAGATGTGTCTGAGGCGATGTCTTTAGCCAGATCTCTCTTCAGTTCTGAGAAATAGGAAAAGTATATTTTGTAGTAAACTAGTGATAATGGTGATAATTATAATATCTAACATCTCTATATTGGCTCACAACTTGCAATGCCAAATGTTCAATGACTTATGGAACTTCAAATAGTTTTATTTTTTAATAAAGTGAAATCAGAGCAAGTAAAATTTTTCATCATCAAATTTATTTTCTATAAGGCAATTAAAACAATTTAGATAATACTGTGAATGAAACTCTACAGCCCTAAAGCTTTTGCTAACAAGAATAAATTGCACAGGTATACATTATTAGATAACTATTTCTGAAATAAATCACACCAGAATTTAAGCAATGGAGTGAACAGAACAATTATTTAAAAGGATAAACCAAAGTGCTTGCTTGAACATAGAGTATTTATTTACTTTGAAATGATAAATATCTTATACGGAATACATTTAGTTATGTATGCATATGTGTATGTATAAATATCTACAATAGATATAGATTTAAAATGTTTCTTTGTTAAACATCCTTTATTGACATTAAAAAATAATGCTGTTATTATTTTCAGTAAAAATTTAACTGAATTTATAGTTGACTAGAAGGCAGAAAATTTTAATATACAGTCATTGAACTGTACCTTGGGAATTAATAATTTATGGCTATTTGCTTTTGTAAACTATGTTTTATAAAATAAAACAAAGTAGTAATAATGCCCCTCTTGATGACTGTCACTGATAAATGGATTTAAGATAAATATTGATAATGAGGTAAGATTTGCAGAAAATGAGGTTAAAAGCTTCCTTATTCTGATTCCTGTATTAGATTGCTGTGAAAATAATACACGAGGACTATTGTATTCTCTGTGCTTGATTTTAAAATCACACAGAATGATCCTCTATGGTGCTACATATTGGGTTGGGAAAAAAAAAAAAAACAGGGGGCTTGGGAAACTAGAAAAAAGAAAACAGTGATGACCCAGCACTGCCCTGGGCCCATTTGCAGATACTCTGTTTACAGTGGTAAGCATACCACTGAAATGAAATGTTTCACTGAACAGATAAAATGAGCCATGGCTAGTCTTCATCCCCATGAAGCTAACTGGATGTTAACAGTGAGTAAGTTATTTATGTTCATAATGGTACAGTTAGCTTCCATCAGAGAATTATAAGCACCAAGCTGTTTACCTTTTCAAGGACAAATGTTTGGAGGGTTTTTGTTTGTTTGTTTTTGTTGTTATTATCTTTTCAAAATGAAAGACAATGGGATATTTTTATGAAATAGATCTCGGAAAAATTGGAAATGTTTTTAGAAAATTATTTAAATTCAGTGCTTTGAATTGAGTTTTTCATTGCAATACTATGTGGCCATTTGTCTCAGACACACAATTTTTTTAAGTGCAAAGTTGATGAGGACTGAAACAATCGTGTCCCTTATTTGTACCTCACTAAATTGCCAAAAAATTGATGCTTTTGACCTATGGTGTTGGAGAAGACTCTTGAGAGTCCCTTGGACTGCAAGGAGATCCAACCAGTCCATCCTAAAGGAGATCAGTCCTGGGTGTTCATTGGAAGGACTGATGCTGAAGCTGAAGCTCCAATACTTTGGCCACCTCATGCGAAGAGTTGACTCATTGGAAAAGACCCTGACGCTGGGAGGGATTGAGGGCAGGAGGAGAAGGGGATGACAGAGGATGAGATGGCTGGATGGCATCACCAACTCAATGGGCATGAGTTTGAGTAAACTCTGGGAGTTTGTGATGGACAGGGAGGCCTGGCGTGCTTCGATTCGTGGGGTCGCAGAGTCGGACACGACTGAGCGACTGAACTGAACTGAACTGAACTCTAATGTGTCTTGTAACCATATGTGCTTGTGATAGTCCTGTGACAGACAGTGAAAGAAATATTTTAATATGTACTTTTCCCATAATTAACATCCACACTAAATTTTTCAAAAAGTATATCAGAATGCCTTTTCAACTAAGACACTTGGACTGTTAGGCATTAAAACTTACCTTCTCTATAGACTCTGTTAATTTCTCTGATTTCTGTGTTAGTTCTTGATGCCAGAATTTCATTCAGAGTGTCTTCATCAGTCCCAAGGCCCTAAATTGAAAAAAAAAAGAGAAATGTAGAAAAATCTTCATTCAAAAGTATCAACTAGTTATTATGTTCCAAAATTTGTCTGAATCTGACATTTAGTAAATTTCTCGCAACATTTAATAAATATCCACAATATTTATTAATTGCAATAAGGTATGTATTATATTGCTTTAAACACAAAATGTGTTTAATGCCAAAATCTTGGACAAATAAATACAAAGTGAGATCTATTAAATATGGTAATGTCATGAAGATAGTGGAAATAACATAGTTATTAACACCAGCATCTATTTTTTCATTTCTTTATTCATTCACTTATTCATTTTATTACCACCGACTGGTGGTCCTGTGCTGGTTGTCGAGAACATACTGGGAGGCATAAATGGCTTGGACACGCTTTGAGGAAAGGAGCTTTGCTTAAATCAGGCGGTTTACCTTCATGGCGGCACGGAGCTCTTCAGCATCAAACTGGGCTGGAGTTTTCAACAGAGCCAAAACAACTTCCTCAAGGTGACCGACGAGGGCTTTCTTCAGAACTTCATCCAGGGGCTATAACAAGAAGATATATAACCTTTTAGTAAATAACACATTAGGTGATATAGTAAAGCAGTGTCACCTGATGTTTACCTAATCTTACTGAGTCCTAAACCCAACCATTGTTCATAGCTCCTTCCCTTTACATCGAAAATGGTACACAATATTTAATATCTTAATCTTTTTGGTTCTATAGTGATTAGAATGAAATTTACTGAATTCATTGATAACTCCTTAAAGGATAGCATTCTCAATCTTTTATAGAGGGAATAAATGACAAAGGTCAAAAGATATGGGTTGTATATTAACAGAAATAGTAATAAGAATACTTTAAAAATAAGTATTAGTAATATATTAGTAACTTTCCAACCATTGAGATTTGCACTTTTCTAATAAGCATTATAATCAGACATTATGAGGTTTTCTAACTACACTACTTAAAAAAATTACCCATATTTTATGTAAAATAGAAACCTTACTTTTAAAGTAGAATTATACATATAAACTTTACATTCAGACACTAAACAGCTCAGTTTAAAATTTAACAGAAGTCACATTTCAATCAGAACATATTTCTTACTGCCAACAGTAATCTTGACATCTGTTATGTTCAAGTTAAAGGCTTATCTCCAATATAGAACACCACATGTGCAAAGAATCAAAACAATGCATAAAACCAGCAAATTCGATAGAATTGATTACATTGCAAGCAAGAGGATAAATACAGTAATCCCGGACTTAGTTGTAATGGGAAACAGTGGCGAGACGGAAAGAACTAGCAACTGTATTTCAAAATCAATGCGCGCATACTCAGTTGTGGTCGACTCTTTGCGGTCCCATCGACTGTAGTTCACCAGGCTCCTCTGTCCATGCAATTTTTCAGGCAACAGAACTGGAGTGGCTTACCATTTCCTACTCCAGGGGATCTTCCTCACCGAGGGATCAAACCCGTGTCTCTTGTGTCTCCTGCATTGGCAGGTAAATTCTTTACCACCACTACCTGAGAAGCCCATCAAATGCTATATTTAAACATAAATATGACTGAAATTAATTATCTAAATTAACCACTGCAACCGACCTTTCCTTTCTCCTGCAGATAGGCTGCTTTGATTTGCTGACGCTGTGCATTGTTTCTCTTAGTCAGAATTTCAATGATGGTTGCTTCATCCACACCTGGAAATAAAGGGCCTCTAGACTTTAAAAATCAATTTTCTTTATCATCAATAACGGACATAAAATGATTCATTATCAAGATGCTTCAAATGAAGTTCTTAACAAAACAAAGAAGTATAAATTATAACAGGCTGGGACATGGATGTGACTCTGTGTATCAGATGGAAGCTCTTGGGATGACATTCCCTTCACTTGAATGAGAAAGTGAAAACGGCTCATTTGTGTCCTACTCTTTGTGACCCTATGGACTGCAGCCTGCCAGGCTCCTCTGTCCATGGGTTTCTCCAGGCAAGAATATTAGAGTGGGTTGCCATTCCCTTCTCCAGGAGATCTTCCCAACCCAGGGATTGAACCAGGATCTTCTGCATTGCAGGCAGATTCTTTACCGTCTGAGACACCAAAGGAAGAAGAAATTTTCCCCAGCCCTCAGTGTTGTAGTGTTTGTTCCTAATTCACACCTTAAGTGTGAGCAGAGGTGCTGACTTCAGCATTCACTGTTAGAAATGAGCTTTGTAAGGATATCTTGTAGCAGTAGAGTCTACCAATTTAATCAAAATCTCCTAAGTGCTGAGAAAGGAAGTGTAACTTCATTGATAAAGAACTCTTATCTTCAAAATGAAGCAGACTCTTTCCATCACACATGTTTGTTTTTTAGTAGCCATTCTGAAATGTCTAGGAGGGGACTATTTGGGGAAGACAGAATTACCTTTAACTGTGATTGCTTTATGCAAGGCCTCAACATCCGAGGATGGATTGAAGGTAGGATAAGGGCTCACTGCTGACCCAGGACCACCTTTGTATCCTTTCACAGTTTTCTGTGAATGAAAAATAAATTATTGTCCATTCACTTACATTTGCTTCTATTTTAATACTACTATTTAAATAAGTTATTTTATTGTCACTTGACTTACAATGTATTCCTGCTCTTCATTTTCAATAAACCAGGCCTGCTTGAGGAATTCAGATACCATTGCCATTTTTGAAGGATCTGAAAAGAAAACAGGTTGATGCTTTTACAAACCACAAACTCACCACATATACATACCACTCCATCCCCTTACATACATAAAACATAGAGCAGCCTTGCTTTTACTTTGCAGGATTAGTTTTAGGAGCATCATAAAATGCTAGATGTAGTGTTTTTTTGTTTGTTTATTTTTAAATGTACGTGTCTCTCTTTTTATTTTATTTTATTTATTTTGGCCATGCTGCACGCCAAAAGATATGGGGTATTAGTTCCCCAACCAGGGATCGAACCTGCACCCACTGCCGTGGAAGCAGGAGTCCTAACCACTAGACTGCCTGGGAAGTCCCTAGATCTGAGTTTATTTTAAAGAGACTCTACCACCCTTGAACAGAAACCCAAAGCCTCAGAAATGTAGCTCTTTCTCAGTATATTCAAGCCTAACCTTAGGGCTCAGATGACGTCTATAAGTAAACATATAGGCTGTAAAGAGTGAGGTTGGTGTTTCATTTCACTGTCCTAAATTTACAGACCAGCCACTGTATACCAAGCCCTGAGGGCGCAAAAACATTGAAATATCCTTTGCCTCAAAGAACTTAAAGCCAGTATGTGCTCTTCCTAAGAAAACTCAAAAGTTTAAGAACAATTCTTAGGGGAAGTTCTGGGTGATATGAGACTCTTTGGGGGGAAGGTTTGAGATTAAATTGGCTAAAAAGTTAAAGAGAAAAAAAGAGAAGTTTGTCATACTCGGGAAGCTGAGAAGAGTTTACTAGCTCAAGAAGTCCAAATTTAAAAGTTCAAATGTGTTTCCAAATTTTGGATAAACATTAATGGACATTGATGGGTTTCTTAAAATGAAAGTTATATTTCAGAAAGATGACTCATCCTGTGTCATAGAGAGTGCCTAGGAGATCAGCAAGATGGAAGATTAGAGACCACTTAGTAAGCTGTGGGAGAATCCATGTAGGGGTTAATGAGGACTTGAACAAAGCTATTGGGTAGAGAAAGAACATTATACTGGCATTTATAAATAAATTAATCTATGACAATCTACAGGAGTGGATTCAGACTCAAAACTCTACCTAAAAAAAAAAACAAAGATATTCTTGTGAGATTTCTCCTTGAAATAATTCAGTTTTTTTTTCCATTTCTTGGTGTAAAATTATTTCAGCACCTGGAATAATCACTACACTCACATTTCTTCTATTTAAGCTGTCTGAATTCTTATCCTATATGTGTTGTTGTTTTTTTTCTACCCAATACAAAATAATCCTGGAAAAGAATTATTTTATACCAGCTCTTTGCTCTAACAGGATTCTTTAGAGTGAAACTGCATCATGTATGCCCTCCTTTGGAAAACTATATGTTAAAGAAAATTGCTTGACTTACTATCATCATTCAGCAATATTCTTATTTAGTAAGCTATGTATATGTTTAAAACTTGAAGTACGTTAAAAAATTAATGCATTTCCTATATTATCTACAAAAGAAGCCCCCAAGAATCCTTTTTGTCTAGGATTTTTTTTTTTTTTTAAGGAGCCTAAGCTCCAGGTCTATGCTGATCGATCTCTCCACACCCTTTTATTTCTCTGGAGACTGTTATTATGAGTACATCTGAAAGAGAGAAGGTTGATCTTAGCAGTTTTAAATTCTGCCTGTGAAGCTAAATGACTCATGAGGAGTAAAACCCATAGCCTGATTCTTTACTGGTATGTTCAGACAAAGTATTTCAATCCCCACCTGCTGAAAAGTGGCAGAAATTCTAAGTAATGAGATTAAATACATGAGGGAAATAATATCCAAAGCAGAAACTATCTCTACTTAATTATCATGGGAATTGTTCAAATTACTGTTCTGTCATCTGTGAGGAGAACCAATATATTGTGCACTTATTTAATCTCTTCCCCCCAGCAACTGATCAATTTAAAGTTATTTCCTGAGCTAAAGTCATGGTGTACAATTTTACACAAGGTTTTAGTTCCTATTTCACCATAATCTGCTGCAATTTTTGTTGGCACATGGAGTTTCATTTTCCTCTTGCTTAATTGGCATATACAAAACTTCTTGCAATTTCTGGCAAGGTTGCAGGTATTTAAAATATCCATTTTTTATCTCATCCACGTCCTTTAGAAAGTAGAATTCTCAAAATGAGTGATACAATCGGTCACTTAGTGGAGTGACTTTTCTTCAGCAATAGAAACAGATGTTCCAATAGTTCCACTTTTTTCAGTTAGAAGCGAAATACCAAACGCGATCAAAGAGGAGATTAAGAATATTGTCAAATATAATTTTTAAAATGAGCCTCACAATTTCAAAATAAATTTTATTAAAACTTTACTGTACATCACAATTTTTTCACTTAAAAATGCTTATATAATGCATTAATTTCTTAAAAGAATAAACTTGAAAAAGACTAGAAAATATTGCTCTATTAATTATATTATACAAAATAACAAAAATAAAAGGGTTAAATAATTTGTTTCACACATGTCCATAGAGAACACAGCTTTGTGACATATCTTCTGTGCTCCTAGATCTTGGTCGAAAGCTATTTGGGTGACCTGAAAAAGTGTGATCTGGAATATGGTCTGAAAAAGAGAAGCAGCCTGAATAGAACCTTCTTCAAGAAAGCAATTAGAGGAAAATGGAATTTCTATTCAGCCAGATAAGATCCACTAGCTCTCAGCAAAGCTTAAAGATACAAAGAATGTGACAGGATGTTAAAAAAAAACAAACACACCACTCCCTACAGGAAATAGATTTGATCATATACTGCTAGTTAAGTGCCCAAATGCAACTCCATGTTTTAACAGAACCTTGAATAGTTACAACATACCTTACAAATACCACAAACAGCAAACATATTTTGCTCAAATTGTATTGCTAAACCATTCTGTCTTTTCAATACCTAACCTCTGCATGAAAACCAATGTGTTGTACTCGATAAAACCCACTTAATAATTTGAAGGTAAGATTTCTTAATATCAACAAATAATGCATGCAAACACATTTTATAAACTGCCACATGCTATATAAATGTCTGTCACATATTTTTACTATTCAGAGAATGATTCAGTCTGGAAATTAGAATTGTACATTAAAAATAAAAAATTAATAATCCCATGAGTTCACAAGAGGCTTTTTTCCCATCTTTCTTTTTAGTTGCAACATTTAGAATATGTACTAGGTATTTAAGAGCCTATTTTCTTAATATTCCTTGGCTCTATATATATTTAATCTGGCTACAAATGAGCGTTGAAACCAAGTTTATCTAAGTCCTTAACATCATCTAATTTGAAGATTAAATTGAACATCTATAAATAGACTGACTTACAGGGAAATTAATAAAATTCAAGTGTCTTCTAATTAATAATCTGTGAAGATGCACTGCCTACCTATTTCATTTATCTATGAGAAAGTATATAACTTTCTAGAAATTAACATTTTAATGTCATAAGAGAGCTTTCTTCCTCTCACTCAGCAAGAAATTAAAAGAAGGTAAATATGCATTAAATGATGCTTGCTAAATATAAGAGAAAGGTATTCTAGAAATGGTACATTAGCAATTATACCAACTGTACAGTTTGAGAAAACTAAGACATTGTATGAAAGTTAATTTCATGACTTTTTTTTAAACTGCACTATGGTTGAAGTATTTAGAGAAAGAGGGACATCATATCTGCAGTGTTCTCTTAAATGATACAGTAAAAATAACTATATAGAGAGGGTAGAAAGGAAGAATTAATGATAAAGCAAATGTGGTAAAATATTAACACGGGGAATTTGGGTAAAAAGTATATGTAATTTTGTGCAAAATCTTGCAACTTTTCTGACGGTTTGAAATTATTACAAGACAGCTTTTAATAACTTTAAAAACCACATTTTCTATTTCTGTCAGCTTCATGAAACCCTACTTCCAAAATTTTTGACAGAGGAAACTGAGTTTTGTGGTCTATCATGCCTTCCTGATGATAAGTAAGAAAGATTAGAGTTCTGCAAAGACAGCAACAGAAACTGATCTTTGCAGAGAACACCATCATTATTCCCATTTTCTACCTGGGGAAAAAATGTAATTTTTTCTGGCAGTTTTCTAGATACTAGTGGCAAGTATCAAGGCATACATAAATCCATGCTTTCTGTTTCCAAAAGAGTGTATATGCTTTTAATGATCAATGATATTTTTAGTAACTTATAGCTAAGAATCAAATTCATTCACAGTAAGCCCATGGAGACTGCGGCAGGTTTTACCCCAGCCTGAGGGAGTTTATTTTTCAATGCTTTGGTCTGTATAGTTTTTCCTCAATTATATATTTCATAAGTCTTTCCCACACCTACTAATGTGAGAAAAGGCAATTAGACTGTACAAAGGCATGATTTATGAAGAAACACTTTATGAAAGGTAGTTTCATGAATGTTTCGCTTCCAGGCCTTTGAGTAGGGTGTTCTGTTTGCCTGGCATGCTATTTCATCCTCCATATCCAATTCTCTTTGCCTAAATGATGCTTCTTAGAGAGGACTTAGCCTACATCTCACCACATCCTCCAAATGGGCCTACCTTAGTTTAACACTGGGGTAAGTGACCATCTGTGCTCTCCCAAAGCATCCTGCCTCACCCCTACACTTGTCCCTATTTATTCTGCATTATCACTTTCTATTTACTCATCTATATTTTTAGTGGCATTCCATAGGGGCAATGATAATCTACCATGCCTGGCAGAATGCCTGGTACTTAGTAGGCTGGAAAGCATTATTGAATGAACAAATAGTGTATCGGTGCTAATTATTTAGGAAAAATATCTATACTAATTTAACTAATGTTTTCTATCCACAACTATAGGATGTAAAAATAAGAACTGAGGAGTTCTGAACCATATCTTGACTCTCTTTAGCTGGCCATATGACCTGAAGAAAACATTTAACTTTTGGGGTGAGGAGGGCTCTCCAATTATAAAAATAAGAGTTGAAATGAACAGTAGCTGAGATTCCTTACAGTTCTGAAATGCTAGTCTTAAA